TGTCTTCTTCATGTCACTGGGTGAAGAATTCTTCGCGGTCTTCATTGTCTGGCGAACTCCTGTAACGTCGCTAGTAACTCTGTTGTAAATGCATGGGCGTCAAGAAGTTATACTTAGGTCTGCACTTTCAGCAGAACAATGCAGCCAGGACTCTGTGGCTCATCACAAAGGTTAAGGATAAATTGGCAAATTTACTGTTGCAGGCGACAGCAGAACGCTTGGATTCCGAACATTCATGTATTCTAGTTCTTGATAAAACCTGCAGATATTTCAGTAGTTTTACATAGCCATATTAAATGTATAAAGAGTGACATGTTTTCCACAGATTAAATTAGTCTACTTACAACTTCTATCTGCCTTAGCTACTAATATACATAGTTACAAGTACAAAGAAATGTCATGCCGTTGTTAATATACTGGATCGGCCTATATAGTAACAATATTTCGTCAAAATCTAACTTCTTGTGCGTAATTTATTCTACTAGCAGCCTACATGGCATTCTTAATATATTGGAGGCAGTAAGCTCCTCTGAAACATCGGTGAAAACCATTATATTCTACAATATCTATGGTAACTTTACCAGAAGACAGCCATCTTCATACGCGTAGCCGCGAAAACCTGAATCTCACGCATTGTCTCTTAGAACACTACTCCTACATATTTGAGTGAGGCATTGCGCTTGTGGCCACAGCATTGCGATATTTGCTAAACGCGCGTGGTGGTAGTTTGGCAGAAGCAAAATTACCCATTCTGCTGAAAAACACGAATTAACTTCAAGAAATCACCGACACCTCTTTTCTTTGGATAGCACAGTACTGCACTTCAAATAACCACATGCACAAGCCATGCATTTGCTGTAGTGGCTGTTCCTTCCACCATACACTACCCCGCTAATTATACAACAGAAATACTGGATGCAATTCAAACATTTAAATAAACTCTTCACACTAGTAATGTACTACAAATTGTTTAAAATACATTCTTACGAAACACAGTCGTACAACAACTCTCGGTTTTGTAAATGAAAACATATCCATAGAGGGTAGCAGAAATGGAAGTAAAAGCTCATAAGGACCCGTGCTTCACTCTTATCTGGATTGTTTATAGGTTCACTGCACTATGAGATTCCCTCAAACCCCTCAGTTGCCGCGTCATAGTTTGTTCTGTCTGTCTTGTGCGTGTGTCGCAAGCAGAGCACACAGGCTACGTAACGAAACAAAAGAAGACGCTAAAACAGCAGAGGAGAAGAGGGCAAGAGAAGATCCCATCATGCACTGGAACTAGCACGAGACAACAGAGGAATCAATGCGCACTAATATGAGCAATAACTTATACCCTTCTGTGTTACGTAAATTATGTACGTCAGGAGATAAGGCGTATAAACTTATATTAGAAACATACTCCTATAACGTTTTTAACAAACAGATCTGCAACCAAAATAACAGAGTTAATTTTTAATGTTGGAGTGAAGCTGCTGTGACAGCTGTTGAGAGCCTGATGATATAACTGACGAACAGAAACTGAATGACTGTGATAAAAAAATGTTTCTGATAGGCCTAATTCGCAAAAAAGGATAACAAGCCTACTTTTACGAGCAATAATTTACAAATAGAATCCTGGAATCCTTTCTGGTGTATTGTGTCTTATGAAATGATGCTGATACGCCTTCTGGGCTGCTATGGATTTAAACAGCATACACTAGTAGCAATATTAATGATAAAGAAGGTGTTTAATTATTTTTTCATATTAAATATATTAATTTCGGATTTTATCACGGTTCATGCTTTCCACACGTTTTTAAAATTGATTCCATTGAACTATACACAATCCATATTTCCGTAGCCTCCACCTAGAAGACTTCACATAGGCATAACCCAGGGAACTGCAATCCAAATTTTCATCACCCTGAAAAACAAAAATCCCGAAAGCAAAAATTGCTTTCAAAAGTACAATAATGTGATACCACATAAACTAATGCGAAGACAGACTTATTAAACGGAAGGCAATGACTGATTATAATAAGGTACTGATTTTGTTCGTCAGCACTCCTTAAAAAAATCTTCATATCTGAGTCTACACACGTTAACATCGGGAAAAGTACGAATATCTACAATAGAAATAGGAACACTCGGCTTTTACCTGTTCAAAAACTATAAGATCTGCGAGTAACCGGAAATTGATGTGGATGTAGCGAGCATCTTCCAACGACCGGGTCAGAAACGGACGCCTGCCGATGCTGGTGCCATCTTCTGAGGTCCCTACGAGATGCTGCCGCTGCTCCTGGCCATTTTGGCGCAGGCGCCCTGGCCACGTCTTCCTCTCCGGGCTGATGGCGTTTTGAGGGTTCAACTTTCACTTCACGCACCCCCGACACTACACCAACCCATGTGACAGGTCTTCAGTTAAACACAATCTTCACCACTCAATTCACCTTCGCTCCTACACGGCAAACACTACGGTTATTCATGACACTTAAAATCCGTCAAAAGATATTCTTAATTTCATACTCAATCAGAAAACAGGATCACAGTTATTCTTCCAAAACTGAGCACACACCCACATAAGTTCAGCCATTTCCAGGAATACCAGGACACATATACATCCGAAGTCATTTCGAGAAATATCCTCAGCAAAGATCAATCAAGGCTTCCAAAATTCTTCGTCCTTCCACCTGGATGTAGCACATACCGCATCTCCTGAGACCCCTAATGAACCAGAAGTTGGGGTAACTATAGCTACCACTAATTCATCAACAGACAATGAAACTATATCTGGCGTCTAAAAGGTTCAGCTAACAAGCGTACTTGGTTGGGAGCCCGCTCTCTCTCTCCTTCATTTACCAAGACACCATTCTCTGTATGAACAGGCTCTCAACCGTGAAAGCCTGCAACTCCCGCCTTTCCATTGTCCAATTTGCATACATTGAAGAAGACTTTAAACAAACACGCCCACTGCATTGCTGGTCGCTAGGAACCGATCAAATTAAGAACGCGACGAGAAGGCTGCCAGCCTTATTGAATTAGGTAATGGATAGCTCATTCCGTTTGTACTGCACACTTTAACGGATAAAAATTGCATTAGGCTTTACTGCCTTGAACAGGAACGATGCGTTAACAAGATACGAAGTATTCTCCGAACATTGGGGAATGACAAAACTGGTACGAGCCAGCAGCATATAAAAGACGTTCTACGATTGGCCCGTTTCTGACTTCTGCTTGGGAGAAACAGGATTCGAATCTCGGCCCGTATTTCTGCTATCTTGAGGTCTTTCGTGGTGTACCTCAGTCGTTATAAGAAAGTGGTGCGATATGTCTTGTAATACCAGGCAGCTTTTTCTATATTACCTTACAGTTCACTTACATTAATCATCCCCTAGTCGTATTTGACGCCAAATAACTTATTTCAGTTTGTAAAACGCTGTTACCAGTAACTAAATGATCATTTACAAAACTCTATTATGAAACAAAGATTACCGATATGAAATAATTTATGTTTGCGAGTACCAGGACGTGTGTATAGTAACAATATGAGACACATAACACTGAGCGTCCACATTTATATAATTGTAAAATTACAGGGAAGGATATTGTATTTAATAAACATTTGAATTAAATCGTCTGTGCATATTAACATAACTCTCTACATAAAGAGCGGATGTGAAGAAGAGTTTCGTCAGAAGAGAGAACTCCAGTCTGTTCTACTGCATTTCGAGATAAAACTTAATAAACCAGAAATACAACGGGACC